AGACATTTGACAAGGTACCCCATTTGAGGCTCGCGCAAAACCTGACCTCCTACGGGGTATATGGTTGCGCTCTTCATTGGGTGACTGCCTTCTTGGAGGGTAGAGAACAGTGTGTACGGGTAGGCCGTGGCGTGCCTCAGGGCTCGGTCCTTGGACCGCTGCTGTTCTCTATTTATGTGAATGATCTACCCGCGGAGCTTGAGATACCATCGCTGCTATTTGCTGATGACTTGAAGCTGTGGAACATTGTCGATGTTCCTGGGGGTTCCGAAGCTATTCAGTGAGCCCTGGATAAGCTTTGGGACTGGTCTACTTTATAGTTACTGCCCATAAATCAGTCAAAGTGCTCCGTTCTTCGAATTGGAGGAGGTTGTCCTCCTGCGAAGTACTTGGTCGGTGGGGTCGAACTCCCCCATGTATCTAGCCAGGTTGACCTAGGCGTCGTACGCTCTTCAACTTTACACTCCGGCGACAATTGGAAGAAGGCGGCAAGCAGAGGTTTCCGCATGTTCTTCCGGAGTCTTGACGCGCAACCACTTTGCGAGACAGTTCTCGGCTTTCGTTCGGCCTCATCTGGAATACTGCGTACAGGCTTGTCCGCCCTGCCTCGTCCGGGACAACATGGAGCTAGAGAATTTTACGAGTGGGTACTAGGTTAGTCGAGGGATTACGGGGCGGACGTACCCCGAGCGTCTACTTAGTTTGGGAATGCATTCAATGCACTACCGAAGGCTTAGAGGAGACCTAATCCTAACCTACTGTATTTTAACTGGGAAGGTTGGTCAAGATTTATCTTGGCTATTTAGTCCCGCTAGATTGTATGTTCTACGCGGTCATTTCTTGAAGATGGATAAACCGCAATTCGATCGGATTGGGGCGAAAATCCGGCTGTCACGCAGTCATCGAGCGTTGGAAGGTGTTATCAGGGAATCTACGATTAATGGGGTTTGAGCGGCAACTTGACGCTCTTGGGTGGCAACACGAAGCTTTTCCCTTTTCCTGAGTAACTCGCATCTTCGTACTTCGATTTTCTTTTCTCTACTTATTTTCATGCATTGGTATTATTTTATTTCAGGTGTCCTTCCTTATTTTGTACTTTCGATTTCTACCTATCCTTTGCTTACTTCACGTGACTGCCACAGCAGGGACTGCTAGGGCAGGAAACGTGGGCATTAACTGGTCGGCCAGGGTAAGAAACAGGTGTTCCCTTTTAGATCCATCAAGAACTCTGAGCATTTGAACAATTCCTGGCTTAACGATCCACTCAAGATGGAACACTCACGGGATTCTCCTATCGTTCCAGTTCCACCCGAACTTAAACTTGAACTCTGGAACGAAACGCATTGGCAGACTGAGTGCGAATAAAGTCAGTTATCCCTCAGAAAAACTTCTAGGTCTACTACAACTGCAAATTGGGTAGACAAAGTGCACTTAATAAGTGTTAGGGCTTCAGCAGTCTGATCCGACTACTGCAACGTGCAGATCCTCAACACAATTAGTCTAGAGCTCACATAAAGTACAACGCTTCCGCCTTGACGACCGGCGGAGCTATCAGTTCTATGCAGTGCGTAGCCAGGTAAACATACCTACCGTCCATGATATCCGGAGACAACCACGTTTTAGTAAACGCAAGTATTTTGGGACGAGAGTTGTAAACAGACGGACCTAACACGTGCACCTTGTTCCTTAGGCTAGTCATGTTGCTAAATAATGTAGCCCGTCGGTGTGTCGCTATAGCGAGACAACAGGTAAGACGTCATCGATCGTGGCTCTAAATATCATTGTAGTTTCCACATCCTTTTACCCTCCTATTTCGTCTCCAGTATCGTTAGAGTTCAAGTCAGACGTGCGTTTCACGCATGCATCCAGTCACCCGGACCTCACTCAGTGGCTGTGACAATGCCGTCCAGGTCGCCACGAGGCGTAACACTGGCAGACACTTCGTCCAGCTCCGACATTTACTAAGTGGTCGTCCAGCCGCCTATGAAGTAGCTATTTTGCCTTGCAGCCCCTCGGTCTAATATGACTAACCTTCGCTCCCGAACCAGTAGCCATCAGAAACTACGACCGGACGCATATATAGCGACCCTGCCAGCTTATAACGCTAGTCCTTGAAGCAGGACTGCAGCCGTTGCAAGGATCACCAACGTTCCCTCATGTGGAATCATGCGAACCTAAGCGTTCATCGGTTCCTCTTTTTGTCAGCATGTTGATACGGGTCAGGGCTTCTGTAGGCGCTGAGCACAGCGCCTTAGAAAAGGGGAATAATGTAGCGGGACAGTGTGTCGCAGTAGCAAAGCAACCGGACAGTTATAATCGAGTGTAGCCTATATTGTTATCATCCTTTTCTATTCTCTTTGCTTTCTTATTTCGCCTACGGTGTTGTTAGAGTAGCCAACTATCGTGCGCTTTCACGCCATCCATCTAGTTGCCTCGTGTTCGGTCATCTATCGGCAGCTATGACAATACGTCCAGCTAGCCATGAGCTGTGACGCAAGCACACCGTTCATCCAGCTCCGACAATTACTAGGTGGTTGTCCAGCAGTCTCGGTCTACTATGACTCACGTACGTCCCGGATATGGAAGCGCCCTAAACCCCCGACCGGACACATACTACAGTACTGGCTAAAGGAAATCGGAGGCTGGCCTGTCGAACAACCTCCTCGTAGTGCCAGCCAAGTGGTTCGGGTTTGTCCCGCTCCAGCGAATGGTTGGGCGGCAATGTTCCAGGACATGGCGGGTTTTCGGCTGGCAAGCGTTCTCCTTATAAAAAGCCACAAATGTCCGTTTAATCGCACTGCAACTTGGCGGATGTGACGTGCCACTAAATATGGTCACTGCCTCTTGATTTCCTTTGGCAGAGCATTGTATCCCAGCAGATTGCTGCGGAATTTGTGGGGAGAATTGGGCCCCTGTTCGGTACTTGACCAAACGAAAGGAGCATGAACCGAGAAATCCATAACCGACTCTCTATGGGCATTATTCCGTGAATTCACTCCACTGCCTTGTGGACAGGTTATTCAGCCAAAGGCTAGGGGTGGAATCCACTAAGACAATTCCCTACTGCGGTCTAGTCAACCGGGTAGTATCTCGCCTCTTGACAAAACATGGAAACATACGCCCTCACTGTCATGATGTACTACGTTCCAGCTATTGCACCAGCTTTACGATTACACGCCACCCAAATACCTAGCATCCATAGGTATTATCCGTCCACTTCATTACCTGGTTACTCGACGGTAAACAACTCGATCTTCACTGGTGAATTCGTCCCATTTACATCTGACACCTCAGCCACAAAATGCCTCACAGCCAACCACAAGCCACATGGTCTTTTATCATAGCTTCTGCAGCCTGGAACTCGGTTCAAGCGAGCAATCCTAAATGTGCGCACTCTATTGCAGATCGGACAAGAAGCGAGACCTTGGATACCCTTGCGCTTGATGTCTGCTGCCTGAGACACGACTTTAGGATCCCAATACAGTCTACCAACTTTAATCACCAATCCATACTTACACCCTTTTTCATCCTCGTCTTTCTGGTGACGCTGAGTCTGCCGCTTCTGGGCAAGCTAGTGTTGGAATTACGGTTAGTGCTAGAGCCAAGGCCACTCTCACTGATTGGATTCCAATCAATAGTCGCCTCTGTGATATTAGGCTCCGTGGCTCCTGCAATGGTAGCAGACGAGCCGATAAGCGTGTACTTTTTGTTCTCTCTGCCTATGCGCCAACTGACTGCAGCTCGGCGGCAGTCAAGGACCAGTTCTATCAAAGCCTTATGATCTGCTCCTAAGGGCACCTAAAACGGATATCCTCACTATGACAGATTTCAACTCATGCGTTAGTCGGTTGTCTTCATCTGAGCGCCACCTCGGAGGACCACATGGATCAGGTTCGCCCTGACAATGGAGAAAGATGGCTCCGTCTGTGTGGCGCACACCAACTTTACCTCTTTAGCACGAGCTTTCGACACTCTAGGCGACATTATGCCACCTGGCGTCCTCCATCATCAAATCAGCGTTGGTCGCAAATTAACCACATAGCCATAAGTCGAAGGTGGCGTGGAAGTATACGCGCTTGCCGAGCATACTGGTCTAGGTTTATGGTAACCGATCATTCATCGGTGTGCGTGACAGTTTTCATGCGCTTCGGTAGCCCCCAAAGGGCCAAACAAACCCGACTGAAAATTTGCAAATTCGATTTCGCAGTACAAACGGAGTATCAACAGAAGCTTCGTGAAAACGTTGCCCCCTCCACTTTCTGGATGTTGACCAGCACTGAATAGGCTTGCAAAACGCCACGCTGTTCGAAGATTTGTCCAGTTGCAACCTCGTCTGCTGCACAGCTAAAAGCTGACTCACGGCAACCTCGGATCGTCGAAGCGCCTTCCCACTGGCACGGAATACAAGGAAGTCCGTCGGTCTGTTTCCCTATAACAGAAGGCAAGCCTTCGCTATGACTGTAAATCTTGGTAGTCTAGACGCGTTGCTGAGACAGAGGACGCTACATCGGTTAGAAACTGCAGCAATTTGTTTCGCTTCATAAAAGCTAGCAGTTGCAATTCACACGCCATCAGTCAAATAATCTAAGTTAGACGGTCCAAAAATCGCCAACCTGCAGAAACGATTGGAACGCTGGGCAGAGCACTTCTCTCTTCAATTTAAATACGCAGCACATCTTCTGTGGCACCTCCATCTCCATCGGATAATGCTTGGTCTGCTTCAGTAACCATTCTACCGAAGCGCAACCAGTTCTTTCAAACAGCATGAAGCTGCTTGCCCAGACAGTCTTCTTCCAGCTCTATTCAAAGATGGCGGGGAGGTGCTTGTCAACAAAATGCTTTCGCTCTTCACAAAGGTTTGGATTGATGAGAGAGACGCAGTTCATAGGGGGCTCAATCGTTGTCCCTCTTCACAAGAATAGCCACCGCGAAGATCGCGCTAATTACCACGCAACCTCAATGATTTCACTTGCTACCAAGAATTTTTTGTGTAGACTTACTTCACAGGCATTCCTCCACCATCGGGATTTTCTTGAGAAGAACAAATCGGTTTTCACTCAGGGCGAATTTCCTTTGATCAGATCTTCATGCCTGGAAAAATTCTCAAGCTCCGCCACATTTACCGTCAATCAACAATCATTGTATTCCTGGACATCCGCGCGGCAGTCGATTCAGTAGACAGTGCAGTTTTGTGGAATTGTCTACTAAGGAAGGGTGTACCCAGCAAGTTTGTCGTCATTCTGAGGTCACTGCACAGTCATATGTCGGGTAAAACTACAACTTACGGCAGACTTACCTCTTCGTTTGCTGTCGGCTGCGGCGTTCTCTAATTTTGCCCTATTTCTTGTCTCTTCAATTTTGCCATCAAAAATGTCGTGTAATAAGCTCTGGAAGGTGTACGGAATTGCGGTGTTGAGCTTCTTCCTGGCGCCAGAATCGCAGACCTGGACTACGCTGATGACATCAATTTGCTGGGTGACGGTTTTCAAACCGTAAAAAACACCTTGAAACGCCTAGCAGTTGAGGCATCAAATTATAAGTTGTATTTCACCCCAGTAAAATTTAAAGTGCTATTTCAGAATTGGCAGGGGCCTGAGTCCGCGCTCACCATTTCTGGTGACATTCTGGAACAAGTGGATTGCGTCGCTTATAAAGTTAAGTAAATGAAGTTTTTATTCTTGACAATGTGAGGCAGGTCTTTGCAGGCATCATCATGTTAACGATACAATGCGTGATCAAGTGTGCGAAAATCCGATATGTTTGCCATAACAGTGTGTTTGTGAAGGGGTATATATACGTATGTAATTGGGTGTGTATGTATCTGAGGTGCCCCATGCTGAGGCTGATGTTGCATTCTTGATGCTTCTTCACCGCAGTTGGGCTAAACCAACTTACACTTAAACTAGGTCTTTTTAAGCTGGCTAAATTTCATTCCGCTTTATTTGGTTTGTTCTGCCTCTCTGAATAATGTTCTATTAACTGGCCACGTTGCTTACACTAGTTGCGCTTATCTTCGGTAATTTTGTTGCGTTTGTAGCATTTTAAGTAACTTGTGGACATTTCTTACTTATCACGGATTTGTTGCTGACCAACTTACTTCATATGGTAATTTGGCGAAGAGTTATGCCACCGTATCTGTATGCATTATGGATTTATTTTATTTCAGCTTGTCGTTTCTAGTGAATGGCTGTTGTTTGATATCCCTGTTACGGTTGCGCTTGATGTGCATGTCGACAAGGTGCCTATCTGTCTATTGACCAATATCATCTTCCATACTGGCTCCAGGAGACAGTTGGTCGTTTCTGGAGGGGACGGGGTGCACGGTTCTTGTGGCCGTGCTAGGCTCAAAGAGCGGTTCCTTGCACTCAGTGTGGAGCGGACTACGGTCCAGCCACCGCCTTGCGTGCGGTTGATTCCCCAAATACAGCGTGCTTGTGTTTGCCTGTGAAGGAGTGTGGGCCGGCTCCGTTTGATGAAACGTGGTTCCCATCCGCATGCCTCCCGGGCTTATGCCTTCGGGTTTACACTGGTATGNNCGTGTGGTACTCTCTACCCCGGAGGAACGCAATGCTCTCATGCAGTTTGCGTCTAAGCTGAAAGCTACAAATATTAGCGTTCAGCCGGACCTTCAGCTAGCCGATAGGTTGAAGCTAAGGGAGGCCATCAAGGACCTCAAAAGCAGGCGAGCGGCCGGTAAACAAGGTCTCCGGTTAGTGGGTTTTCGGGTGGTCAGCCGGCGGTCCTTTGCCGCCCTACCACTGCCCATTCTGGTAGCGCACGACCCAGGTCTGGATCTAACGGAAACATTCAAATAGTGCTAAGTAATGTGCACAGCTAAGGAATAAGGTGTACGAGTTAGGTCTGCTTGTAGATGGGTCTCATCCCGATATACTCGCAATCACTGAAATGTGGCTGTCTCAGGACATCACGGATGGTGAAGTACATCTATCTGGCTACGCACTATTTAGATGCGATCGCTCTGCTGTCCGACAGGGAGGGGGCGTCGCTCTTTATGGGAGCTGTTAACTTGACGTTTTGGAGACTTGCTTATTTCAGTCGGCAGACAAAACTGTTGAGGCTCTATCGGCTGTTATTAGCACATTCTCGGCTCAGGTTACAGTTGTAATTATGTATAGAAGCCCTGGGAGCGTATCCAAAGTGGTACTTGACTTCATTCGCTCCCAGTCCGCAAATAAGTGTTTGGTGATGGGCGACTTCAACCTCCCAGAGATTTGCTGGGCAGATCTTTCTTGCGACTCAGCGTCAGACACATTCGACGCTGATCTGCTTGAACTAACGCTCCAAGTATCCTTGCACCAGTTCATTGACCTCCCCACTAGGTACCTGGACGCCCAAGTACCGTCTATCTTAGACGTTGTATTCGCTAAGTCACTCGATTTTGTTGGTGACATTACTTACGGACCTCCACTGGGTTCCAGTGATCATGTTTGTTTGCTCTTCAGTTGTACTGTCTAGACGCTACCAGAGTACTGTTGAGTCTCTCCCGAGCATATGGCAAGCAGACTATCAATCAATGGGAGCCAAGGCTTCTGGTTTCCTTTGTGAGATCTCCGACGACGATACTGTCCAGGTTGCCTAGGGTGAATTTAAGTAATACCTCACAGAGATCTCTGCTCCCTTCATCCCAGTCAGAAGGAGAAAGGAGGCCCGAGCACAGCCGCCCTGGATAGATCCCACTGGCAGGTATCTGCTTACAGAGGTCTAGATGTTGGCGGGCTTACCGAGATGCACCGTCCACCGATACTTATGACAGGTACCGTAAGGCTAGAAGTAGGTGTAAGCAACACCTAAGGGATGCTCGGCTCAATTTCGAGAAAGGGTTAGCGGACGAAGCTTCAGAGAATCCAAAAAGATTCTTCGCCTATGTCAAAAGGCGCTGCGCTTCGAACATGTCAATTCCAGCATTGATGCGTGATGACGGTACTCATGCGCCTACGGACTATGACAAGTCCTGCGTACTCAGTGGGCAATATGCAGCAGCGTTTGTAAGGGAAACCTCTTTGACAGGCATTGAGCTGGTTTGCAGGATCCCAGAGGGTTCAGGACTATCTGAATTTATTGTAGCGGAGACGGAAGTTCGTAGGCTGTTACAAGGGCTGATCCCTTATAAGGCCTCTGGGCCTGATTTAATTCACCCGAAACTGTTGCATGAGTTGGCTGCGGAACTAAGTGGACCGCTCGCTATTGTGTATCAGAAATCGCTTGCCAGTTGTGCATTGCCTTCCGAATGGAAGGAAGCTGTCATCTGTCCCATCTTCAAACATGGGGACAGGAGTCTGCCTGCAAATTACAGGCCAGTTAGTCTGACGAGTGTAGTAGTCAAACTCCTCGAGAAACTGGCGAGAGATACATTGGAGAGTCCTCTGAGTAGATTTAATCTACTTTGCAAAGTACAACACGGATTCCGGAAGGGATTTTCGTGTCTGATAGCCTCGTAAAGATGCCGCTTGTCAAGACTCCGAAAGAACGTCGGATTAACCACAACATGCGGAAACCTCTGCTTGCGGCCTTCTTCCAATTGTCGCCGGAGTGTAAATCCGAAGAGTGTACGACGCCTAGGTCAACCTGGCTAGATACACGGGGGAGTTCGACCCCACCGACCATGTACTTCGCAGGAGGACAACCTCCTCCAATTCGAAGAACGGAGCACTTTGCCTGATTTATGGGCAGTAACCATAAAGTAGACCAGTCTCAAAGCGTATCCAATGCTCGCTGAATAGCTTCGGAACCCCCAGGAACATCGACAATGTTCCACAGCTTCAAGTCATCAGCATATAGCAGCAATGGTACCTCAAGCTCCGCGGGTAGGTCATTCACATAGATAAAGAACAGCAGCGGTCCAAGGACCGAGCTCTGCGGCACGCCACTGAGAACAGACTGCCTAAACGATAGGCCACGGCCTACCTGTACACACTGTTTTCTACCCTCCAAGAAGGCAGTCACCCAATGAAGAGCGCAACCATATACCCCGTAGGAGGACAGCTTTTGCACGAGCCTCAAATGGGGTACCTTGTCAAATGCCTTCGGAAAGTCGACGAAATGCACGTCCAGTGCGTGGCCGTTATCCACTGCATCCGCCCCACTTTCGCGAGCCTGCCATACTGATCGAGCTTTTTAGCTGAAATAACGTGGGAAAGTGTTTGAATAAACGCTTGATACGAAGTTTGACTATTGTCAAATTTTCTCTGCTCCAGGATATCTTGGACCGATTAATGTGGTATTAGCCAAAGCGTCTTTGGCGCTTACTGGTAATTTTTCCGGTTGCTCCGTTTTAATCCCGTTTGCCCTTTGTTTGTGCCTTTTTATTGCGGTCGTTTTACTATTGTATACGTGTTGTAGTTCTACTCTGTTTTCCACATGAACATGGCTGTTTCGCTAAACACCAAGGCGGATGGACCTATGGGGTCCTCGTTTGATGAGTCTTCTGCAGCTTGCGGACAGGTTAACTGTTCAGAGCCAGTAACAGATTTATCTGGCGGTATGCAGTGTGACGTCTGCTGCCGCTGGTATCACTGTACCGGCCTACAAACTGACCAGTACAAAATGCTATCATCCAACGTTCACTTTCTTTTCAGCTGTGCTGAATGCTGCGCTCAAAGATCGACGCGCCCGGATATCACCGGTGCTAAACTTTCAGCGCTGGCTTCAAGGTTGGCAGATGTTGAGAACACGATAGCAAAACTCGCCTCTGTTGTGTCGCTCGATACGAAAATGGATTTGATTTTATAATCCCTGAATATTTCTATTGAAGACACTGCAATAGGCGGCAGCATTGCTGACGATCCATCCACTGGGGTCTGTCACTCGGTCATGAAGTCGCACATCTTACCGGTCAATCCAGGTAGCATTGCTAGCTATCCTCATGAGCCGATCAAAGTGAAGAAAAATAGGATGCGGAAATACCAAAGGCCCTCTGATACACCCAGAGAATTAGTTGCCGCGGCATCTAAAAAGATGCCGTCTTTGACAGTCGTAAAGTCGTCTGACGATTGTGCACAAGAGAACCGTCCGAAGATGCTGACCGTTTCGGCCACCACTGAACCAGCCCGTTCTGACGAAGTGCTGGTAACTGGTCAATGCGATGCAAGGCCAACGGCCCCTGCCCCAGTGAACCAAAAGAAGAAGCGGACTAGATCTGCTCGTAACATTTCGAAGGAGCTTGAAGACCCAGGAACTAGCAAGACGCCGGCAATAGGGCGGAAAACCTACTCTACCGTCGCTTCGACGTCGTTTGTGAAGTCAGGGACAGTCGTACCGCCAGTGGTGAAAACATTTGGTATAGGTGTCGGATCCAAGGCACGTGGGGTAAACACTCTCCGTCGTGCCGACTCTTTCACTGATAGTAGCGTTATATTCCGTAGCGTTACTGAATCTGCGGCCGCTCTCCCAAGGGAACGCATCTTGGATGACATCAAGTGTCTGAAATTGTGTGTCAGCAAGCTGCTTCCCCCTGGCTTCCCTGGTGTCACTGTCTGAAAGCTGACAAGATTGGGGAACGTCTCTATCGCTACGCCAAATCCGCGACCCCGACTACTTCGCGTGGTCCTTTCTACCCCGGAGGAACGCAAATCATTACTGCGGTTTGCATTCAAACGTAAGGGTGGTGGTGTCAGCGTTCAGCCGGGCCTACCACTG